AAAAAGATTTAGTATTTGAAAAAGTGGTCTTTGGAATCTGCTTGGAGCCCCGGCAAGCAATTCAAACCTGACAGTTCTGGGGCATAGCAGTTTCCTGCCAGACCTCAGGAAAGCCTTGTAAACAGCAGCTAATCTGAGCTTACAGGTAAGAAGCCATTAATTAAAGAACTGGCAAAAAATCCAAAAGTAGGTGCTTCTCCAGTCAGCTCTACCTAATGGGCTGGAAAGGATATTGTGATGTAGGTGGACTAGGTTTCCAAAGGAAGGAATTTTTCCTGACCTAGGTTATTGTTCCCAAAGCATGGTTCATGGAGCTGGCAGTCAAAGGTTTTGGTGGTCTCTCAACATCCTGCCTCACTAGACAGACCAGATGGCGCCAGAAGGTAGCAAGGCATTTTACCTGTCTCCACAAGCTGCTCCCTCAGAGCAGCCATAGAAAAGCCCAGGAAAACAGAACCTCGGCAGCTCCCGAAACATGCAGTCATCTCTGTTTCTCTCTCCTGGGCCCCAGTGTGGGGAGGGGAGGAATGGAGAACAATGGGTGCGAGAGAGGCAGCTGCAAGGCCCACCCCAACCATGCGTGTGCTTGAAACTGTCACAGCAAATCCTTCAGGCTCACACTCAACACGGTCTCACTGTAACACAGGCACACTTCCGTGAGCTCGTTATGTACATGCGAAGAACTCATTTAAAAATAGTCTGTCCTGAACGTGCTGAATGAGGCTCTAGGGATTTTAAAAAAGAAGGCAATTTTTGTACATGGTCTCTGAAATCAAGCCCCTGCTACTTCATCTGGTAACCAACAGGAGGAAAGTGTTGTTTGTACACTAACCCTGTAGGCACAACTTCTTGGCTTGGCCCACTGGACAGTATGTCCCACCCAGCTCCAAAAGGGGCCCCTCTACAGGATTTGCTCCTGACCACACACAATTTCCTTGTCATAGGCTCCCCTCTCCTTTGAGAAAAACAACACGCTTCTTTTGGGCACACAAACCCAGATGACACCATCCTAATGGTTCAGGTGCTCTGGTGAACTGGAAAGGCCTCAGGACTGGGATTAAAGGAGGGGCTCTGAACTCTGGGTGGGGAAATACAGATAATTGTGACCCTGCGGGCATCAGGGTCAGGACCCTGGTTGGCAGGGGTCTGTCACAAAAACCTCTGCATCTGGGTCTTTTAAGATGTGAGTCTAAGTAGTAACACTCATAGGGTCTGCTGTGATGGTGAAACAGTACTGGACATGAGCAGACAGGAAGGGCCTGGAAGAGCAGATTAACAGCAGCCACTACTATTTACCGAGAGCTTGTGCACTGCTAAATTTAGTAATTTAGACTTTAAAAGATTAAATTTTTAAATTTAATTTTCTGGATAGGTAATGCATTTACCACTTTCAAAATTCAAGAGTAAAAGAGATATAAAGATTACCTTAGGCTAGCTGTGTTTTGGAATTCAGAATTTTTCATATTTCAGAAAGGTCAGATGAGTACACCTAACGCATATTGTGTAACATTCCCAAGCAGCACTCTGTAACCAAATACCCTAAGATTTCTGCAAAATGAATGCGTACTCACAAGTGGGACAAATGAAGATATAAGGCGCTTCGTGCCACTTCAGGTCAGGTTTTGCAACCAAACGTGGTTTAGCGCCAATCTTGTGGAAAAAACACTTGGTTTTCAGAGCTCTTTTGATTTTAGAATTGTAAATAGGAGATTGCAGACTCACAAAAGTAAAAAAATCTCCCTCTCATCCCTGTCTCCCCAGCCTACCAAGTCTTCCCACAGACAACTAATGACATCAGTTTCTTGTGTGTCCTTCCAGAGGTACTCTGCATATATGACCAACTATGTATCCCCCTTATTTTTTTTAATAGATGGATGTCCTGAGCTCCTTGTATATATTATCTTACTTCACCTTTGCAGCAGCCCTCTGAGTACATCAGCTTATTTCAAAGAATACAACTGACAATATATTTTGCTGATGACAAAATTCAATCTTTTAAGTGAAAATTAGCAATTTGGAAATTTGTATTTGCCACTAGCTTGATGGCTTCCCAATACTGATGCTGAGGAGAGCAATAATATTAATGAATGCGTTTTTCTGATATTGTGTAATAAGATGTGTCTACGTTTAGCAGGTCTGCACATCTCAGTGGTATTTTCCAAACAACTAATACATGACCTTCCAATATTATGCATGGGTAAAAAAGGTCCATTCAAGGGGCATGACAGACCAGCAGATTTTAATATAATAATGTACAAAAAGTTCACCGATATGGATTCAGATTCCGCATTACAACTAACCCTTAAAGAAACTATCATTGTCAAGTTCTGGTGTAATGCAAAGAAGAATATCCACAAGTATTTGGAAAGGTTATTAAACTCCTCTCCTTTCCAACAACCTATCTATGTTAAGGCTTGAACAAAAACAACATTATCACCTACAGACTAAATACAGAAGCAGAAATAGGCATCTAGCTGTCTGCTATACCTGATATTAAAGAGATCTGCAACGATGTAAAACAATGTCACTCATCTCACTAATTTTTTTCTGTTTTGGAAAATAGTTATTTTCATAAAATTTGTTATTATGTTAACACATAATGGGTTTATTATTGTTATT